TCTAATATTCGGATTTTATTTGAATAACAATTCCCTAAAACCTAGGGATTGTGGTTTGAATAAGTCAAGTAGGTTGGGGGTTGGTGTAGCGGAAGAGAAAGAGTGATAACTTACCATCATTTTGAATTTAAGGTCTCCATTCTCTTTCATAAAATTGATGTAATTGGCGTGAATAACTTATGCTCCTTTGCTTAGCCTGCCTCTTCTCTTCTTCTATGCTATGTATATTGTCTAGTGTTGTATGTTTAGCTGGTGCATTCTTGTGAAATTAAGAATTTACAGTAATGCCCTAGTCGCGACATAAGGTTGCAGATCTGAATCACCTGATTCATTTTTGAAATTTCTGACAGAGGGAAGCAGCTCCCACAAACATTGATGCCCCTCGACGGCTGCTTCAATTTGCAGTCCGGGATGCTGTGGCAATGTCTAGACCTACTATCACAGCGACAGAGCCCTCACTAAAGCGCCTCCGTTCTGTTGTTTCCACCACCACCAGTGACTCATCATCAATTGATCGTCCTCGACGACTTCAGTCTGTTGCCAGAGTGCCAAATCCCATGGCAACGATGATTAAAGCCGTGGCAGAAGCTGCCGAAGATGTAACTAGAGGTAAATCATCTGGAAATGTCTTTGACCGGCTTGGTCGAGCAATAAATGTATCTGAGTCGCATGACCAAACTGCATCATTTGGGGAAGGTACTGTTGAAGATGTCATATATGGAGATGATAATCAACTTCTCAAGCAAAAACGTTCAATGTATCTTCAAAGAAGCGACAGCAGTGGGCACTATGTGGGCAATATGGCCATGCTGGAAAATGTTACTGGGTTGGCTTCTGATTCTACGTCGGAGAATGAAGGTTATGATGATGTGAATGTCTTGGGTCATAGTGTTAGAGATGTTTCTCAACCTGGAACGTCTGGTGGAAACCATGGTGATAATGAGATGATGGTGGAGTACAGTGTAGCCAAGAATAACGACGATGCAACGCATTTCATGCGAAATAAAGATCAGGGTCAACCTGCTGTGGCTTCAAATGCCTCACAAAAGATTGTAAACATTTCTGTGAATGTCAATACTTGGAAGCCGCCCCATTACAAGGAGCCAAGAGAGGTTTCAGAAGTGGATGGCTGGAAATCTGTGCAGGAGGGTGAGCGAGGAGCTTCCAAATCTGGTAGTCGAATAATGAAAGATAACAGCAACCATGTCACAGTTAACGGAAATGTAAGACTTATGAACATATGACATATGTTTCATTATTTTTGTTTTCTTAATGCCTTTTCCCTGTACTTTCGTCTTTGGGTATTGGTACTGAACTTGTGGCTTTGGTTATAAACAGGCAAAAGCTGCTGTAGATTCTCAGAAAGAGTCTCAGAAGACAGTCTCACCTACCACCGGTAAGATTTCAAATTGATATAGAAATAGTCAAAACATTTTTAAATTCCTCACAGTCTTTGCTTTTTAGGTAAATATTCAGCAGTAATATTGATATTTTCTTTTATTATATACTAGCTATGAAAGTATCTCAATAACTTATGATTTTCTATGAACTCCTTGGTGATTTGAACCTTTATATTTCCTGGTGATTCTTGTTTGAATCTGATATATATTATAAATTTGCTTTACTAACTTATTTTCTTTTTGAATCTCAAATCTTATTTGCAGGTTATGTGGCTGGTCGTCCTTTAGAGGATGCAGATTCTCGAACTCTTTTTGTTAACAATGTAATAACTTGTCCTGTGTTTTCGTGTGTTGCATTGTGTCTACGTTCTTGAAAATTGACTTGCAGTTATTATTCTTACATTCAGGTCCACTTTGCTGCTACAAAAGATAGTCTTTCTCGACACTTTAACAAGTTCGGTGAAGTACTAAAGGTTATAATAGTTACTGATGCCGCAACAGGGCAACCCACAGGGTAAGTTGTTTTAGACCCGACTCTAGTTTCTAATCTTATGTTTATTCTTTACTATTATATTGGTGCAATATATGTTCCTTGTAGTAAGCCTTATTGCTTGAGCAGGTCAGCTTATGTAGAGTTCATGCGAAGGGAAGCGGCAGATAATGCATTATCTCTGGATGGAACCTCCTTTATGTCACGACTTCTCAAGGTAATGATAGAGTGAATGCTTTGGTATGTTTATGATAGGGGGTTCTTGTTTCGTCTTCTCTCTCTTTCTCTCTCTCTCTCTCTCTCTCTCTTTCGAGCAATTTTGCAAGATGATTATGCTATTCCGGCATTTAATTTGATCATCCAAGTAATGGATAGCGTCATAGTGCCTGGACTTCAATCTTTTACTTGTTCTTCCAGCTTCTCTGTTCCAACTCATAATGTGGTCTTATCCTTTGCTTGCCCTACTCCTATAGTCCTACTCCTATCTCTCTCTATATTTTTTTAACCAATTATTTTGCTGTTTGGTAATCAAAAGTAATGCAAACTAAGCTTTATGTCAATGACGTGGATAGATTCTGGCTGTTTCTTTTTTTCTTTTTTTTGTGTTGGTCTTGTTCAACACCCCGCTCTGGAAGTATATTCTTTTCATGAAAAACGTTGCGCTCATAGCATATTTTCTTTTGATAATATGACGAATCAAGAAGACGACAACTCTTGCTTTTGCAGGTTGTGAGGAGAAGTGCTGCCCAGCAAGAAGCAGCTCCGGCTATGACATGGCCACGGCGTGCTACTCCATTTCCCACTGCCAGGTTCTCCAGAGCCCCCTTTCCGCGAGGCATGCCTGGTTCATACAGGCCTCGTCCCATCATTAAACCTGGCGGTGCCAGGAGCTTCCAGTGGAAACGAGACGCTCAGCCCTCTCCGAGTGAAAGTGGTGCTCCGCCATCTGGCAACGTGGTTCCCTCTCCTACCTCTCGTAGTCTTACCTATATTCGAACAGAACCTAAACCAGAAGCCAATCCGGGTACGACTTAGTCCATTGGCCTTTTCACAAGGTTTCTCAATTATAGTCATTCCCGAATTGAACTAACAAGGAGGGGCTCAAATCCGACGGGTTCTCTATGAATCGGAATATATTTTTGTACATGGTGGAGAATGTTTTCCAATGTCGTAGCAACTAGTAAGACTCAAAAAATGGTGGGGAAGGTTTTCCTTTTTTGACTATTGGTCCTATATTTCATATTCTTTTTTCTTGAGGGGATTTTTTGGTGGGGGGAAATGAGTGGAATTTTGCGAATTTGTGATAGTATGAGACTAGTTTAATCAAACCCTTAGCTGCTAGGTTTTCCTACCCCGGGTTATATCTCCTGTTTATTTTTTTTTTCCTTTTTAAATTGTGAATAGCGACTGGACGGATGGTCGGTTTATTTATGGAGGACAATTATTGATTATTTTGTTTTGTAATTCCAGTTTCTTACAAGAGAAAAAGAAAAAAAGAGGAAATGAAAGAAAAATATCTTTATCCCTTGTATATTATATTTGTTAAGGTACTCTGCTTATATATGTTCTTTTATCAATAACTTTTACAATTCAGTTTTTCTTGCTGGAAACATTTAGCATTCACTTTTAAAGCATGATTTACCTATGCATTCTGAGGAGAGAAACTTTTTGATATGAATCTCAGCATTTCGTTATGATGTATTCAAGTACAATTATCACAAAGTAGCTCTTCTTTCTTTGCATGGTATCACACCATTTGTAGCCATTTAAAGGCGAGTGCTTGGAGCTCTCTTCCTATTTCTTAGAAACAAATTTTGGTCACATGATCTTTGATATTTGCTGCCAGTGGTGAGCTAGTGAATTTTGAGACCTAATGACCATAAATCAGATCTCTGAGACTCTCACGGTTTATGTCACTACCCCAAATAGGAATAAGGCAATCTTCGATTTCTCGATAAAGAAAAATATGACCAACAGTGGTTCGAAGATATACAGAGAGATTTTATTTTTTATTTTTTTTATACTTCTTAGCTTACTACTCGACTCTAGTCGGATATAAAGAGCATGACATAAAAAAATTTGTGATATATTTATCAATCAAATTTTACTTGTTATTGTAAATATACTTGTGACAATCTAATATTGAGAAGTAGGCAGTACCAAGTACCGAGTTTCCATTAAAAAGGAAAAAAAAAAAAAAAAAAAAAGAACAAAGAAAAAAGAAAGTAGCAAGTACTAAGCAAAGCTAAGACAATCTTGTAAAAAACACGAAAGTAAATTCAAAATATCAATCTTGTAAAAAGAAAACACAAGAAGAGACCAACCAAAGAGTCGTATCATCTGGAGAGCAAAGTGAGCAAGAGGGCAGAAGACAAGGCAGCAATGGACAAGTAAGAAAGTGCACGAATCCTTAGAAAGAGTAGATTGAGATTCTTAGCAACCTGGAGAGTCAAAGTCAATATCTGCAATCTTCCTTGCTCTTCCATCTTCTTGAAAAAGTAAAGTGGCTTCAGTGACCGCCTCAACATGAACGCCATACTCATTGAAAACCCAAACGCCACTACACTCTCAACCGACTCTAAAACCAAAATTTCTCCAGTTGAGTAAGGGATCCAAACTCCGTGGCCGAGATGGGCCAGGCCCAGAAGAGCCAAGGCCCTGCTCAGCCCATAGATGGTCTTCATCATCCCTTGAAGGGATTGCCGGGTCTCGTTGGCCAAGGCTGAGAGGTCTCGCTCCACCGTGGGGCCCTCGATCTCTTGGTGCTTGAATTCCGGGTCTTGGCTTGGATATGCTGTTTTTGGCTTCTGGGGTTCCTTCTCTGATGATTCTGATGAAAAATATCTGGTGGGGTTTTGATCAATTTTCCATTGGTTTGGGATTTTTGGGTTGTTGTTTGGATTTGGAAAGAATCTGGGTTTTGGATTTGGTGAAAGTATCGATTGAGGGCAAAATCTGGGTTTTGTAATTGTGGGGTGGTTCATTAATTTAGCAGTAAGAGTGTTGATTAGGTTTAGGGAGGTTATGGAGTTTGAGGAAGAAGATGTGAAATGATTATGATTTTTTTGGGTTGAAAAGTTGGGTTTTTGAGTTTGAGTGATGGAGTGGGTCAAGGAGAATGAGCAAGTAGGAGTTGGCTTGAGAAGGTTGGCCATGAATCTGCGCGACATCATCGCTGCCATTTTGGGGGGTTTCTTAAGGTTGAAGCAGAATCACAATTCACAAGATCTAGAGAGAGACAGAGAGAGAAAAAGACAGATGGTTCGATGAAATTAAGGTTTTGATTACGGCTTTGGAACACTGGCGGCTCGGGGCAGGGCCTGGGTGGTTTTGGGAGAAACGAACCAACTAAAGCAACTTGTTCTAAGAATCGTGTAAAGACCAACATTTTTGAGGAAACGACATGGAACAACGACATGTCGTTTCTTTTGCACTGAAGCTGTCTAAATGAAAACGACATTTGGTTTCTTTGAAAAACGACGTCAACGCAGTGCGACTAACTGAGTTAGGTTTCAGTTTTAGTTCGTTCCAAAAGAAAACGACATGGGACCTTCCATGGTAGAAGAAAATAAACTTGATCTGGGGGAAAACGACAAATTTCCTTCTGTCCGAGAAAACGACATGTATAAATTGCACGTCGATTTACTGATTCATGGTGAATATGAATCAAATCAATTATGATACGTTGTTTTCACCTCAGAAACAAAAGACGCCAGTTTTATTTGACGTATATACTAAACAATATGTCGTTTAAATAGCTTCAAACGATATGTCGCTTGGTGAAAGCAGAAAACGACATGACATTTTTCATTTATGATGATTATATGTAGTTTACTAAATTGATTTTGCAGTCATATTATAATTAATTAATAAGCCGCTTCCGATTTCAAAGAAGAGAAAGATGACATTATTTGACACACGTTGCAAGAGAGAACATTTCAAACAACTCTCCATATTATTAACAAATCATCCGTTGTTGATTATCAAAAATCAAAAAAGGAAGGGGGGGAAAAAAAAAAACTCTTGTGCTGTTTAGTATACGAAATCCTATTTATTATATATATTTCCGAGAGGCATTACCTTTCCCAGCCTCATCTTTGTTGTCTTGTACCAAACTAGGAATGATCTGTGTGAGATTCCATTCATCAGTTTCTTGCATTCTCTCTCTCTCTCTCTCTCTCTCTCTCTCTCTCTCTCTCTCTCTCTCTTTTCCATTTGCTAAATCATCACTTTTTTGTTATCTTACCCCTAACAAATTCCAATTAAACGCTGCCATGATAACTATAAGGTTAATATATAACATGATTTGGTTTTGGTGTTTTTTATTTATTAAGTATTATAATGCTTGAAGATTCGTGATATTGAGAAACTATGAAAATTGCAACTTTACTATAATATCTACCTATCTATCTGTATCTGTATCTGTATCTGTATATATGTACATGCAAGCGACCAAAAATTGTACATGGACTAGAAAGTCTCTTTTATTAATTACATTGAAATGTTACAGATCATGATTCACATAACAAGCAAAAGCAAACGATGGGAAAGAGAAATTCCAATAAAGTACAATTAAAAAAATAGGTTCAGAATGAGAAATTAAACAAAGAGGGATATAAGATAAATTAGCGATCTTCATCTTTGTTTGCACTCCCTTGCTGTGCATCAAAACAATTTAGTGCAAGTAGTAGGCGACAAAGGACACGAGGGAGGCACCAACCAATGAGCCAAGGGCGGGGAGGCTAGCTGAGGTGCCGCCGGTTGGGGCGGGCGCAGGGGCTGCCACGGCATCGTTGGCCATGACGGCGCTGACTGAGGCGGCGGCGAAGATGACGGCGCAGGCAATTTTCTTCATCTCCATTTGGTATGATATGCTGGAATTGAGCGTGATCGGCGGAAGAATTTCTAAGGAGAATGATTACTGGCCGATCAAGAAACGCTTAATTAGCAATATTAATATTCCAAATTTTGAATGCCTGAGGAGGAAAATTTGGGTTGGATTAGGGGGGTACTTATAGTGGGATGTCCTAGCTGTTTTTGGAATATGACAGTTCATGTTTTCCAATTTCTGTTGTAAAATATTCTTGGTTCTTGGTTGGCCTTAGTTTGCGTGCTCTACTTTTTCCTTTTCATCGCCAAGGAGTCGTTGGCATTAGCAATTTTTGGAATCTCAAGATTGCGGATTAATGTGACTCCCATTATGTTACAAAGCATAAAATAAGTTATTTACTCTTTGTTGAGCAGATATTAAGATATAGAGGAATATAATATAGGAAAATACTATAAATACCCGCCCTTTTTAGTCCAAATACCGCATTTCCTCTCCTTTTATTACACAAATGACCAAAGTATCCTTGTATTTGTTAAACCAGTCTAAAAATATCCTTTGACAAGTTAAATTTCGTGGCAGAACAAATTTTTGTGATAAAAAGGCCAAAATATCCTCTCTTCAATTATGGTCGTTTCTGCTTTACTTTTCTAATTTCGCCGCCAAGCTGCACAGCCTCCTTCCTCCATGACGTTAATCTCGTGCACTTGCCGTTAGTTACTGGTTCTTGAGAGGGAGAGATCTAGATGTTTGTGCTCCTTTCTATGATTTTTGTGAATTGAGGTGATTTTTTTTTTTAGTATTTCAGTGAAAAATTCGATCAGTATCACTCTTGGTAACCAATGGTATTGCTGTTAGATACTAGTGGTTTCCGACTGCCGGTAGTTACCGGCCACCTATCACCGGTTGGTAACTCGGCGGTTATTGATCGATAACTACCATCTGACAGTGATCACTGGTCGGTATCACAGTGGACACCATCTGATATCATGGTGGATACCTTCTAACATCTTAAGTTATATTTGGAATTTTAAAATATAGTGTGGTAACATGGCATTGGGCATGACATTCTCTGAAATTATTTTTTAGACATTTGTCAATCCAAGCCTTAAAATTGTGATGCTGGTCTATAAAGCCCATTCATAACTCGTAATATTGATAATTGACTTTCGCCCTTTGGGGCATCAGCCATTGGGCTTCCGCCATTGACATTAACCCTGTTATATGGGTTATTTACGTTGAATGCCATGGAAAAACAAGGTGGATCGACTTTTGCTAGACCCTAAAATAAACTCTCTCATTTATCCTTATGTTGACGAATTTATCCTTATATTTTCACATTAGGAAATTCTCTCTCTCCCTCTTCCTTTCCCTTTTTCTTCTCTCTCTGCACCAACCGCTCATCTTTCTTCCCTCTTGCTCTTCTCCTGTCATTGTTGACGTTGTTTCTTCTCTCTCCTTAATAGTCCGCCTGACTTGTATAATTCACACGTTTAAATTAATAATTTTAATTAATAATTTTAATTTTGTGAGAGAATCTGTCAGCGTGAACTTTTTTCATTCAACTTGTTGGGAAAGAATGGAGTCAAAATCTGAACCAAATGAGTCATAAACAATAAAGATAGTGGATGATTGTAGTACCACGGCCACCTCATGCCTGACTTGTATAATTCACGCGTTTAAATTAATAATTTTAATTTTGTGAGAGAATCTGTCAGCGTGAACTTTTTTCATTAAACTTGTTGGGAAAGAATGGAGTCAAAATCTGAACCAAATGGGTCATAAACAATAAAGATAGTGGATGATTGTAGTACCACGGCCACCTCATTATCATTTATCAATGAGCTGTGTTCTCCGTGCAATTATGAGCATTCCCTCTTTTGTTACTATCGGCATTGTGGTTGGTGGTAACAATGAATGCTCAAATTCTATCGTTTTGGGTGCTTGTAATTATTATATTACAAAAAAAAAATTACCTCAATAAATTAAATTTTAGTTTCATAATACGTTATGAATATTATTACTACTTTTTTTAATGTTTAGAAATTTGTAATTCAAATTACTTAACACAGTTTCTTTCCTTTTTTTTTTTTTTTTTTTTTTGAGGAAGTTACTTAACACAGTTTAGTTACAGCAAAAAAAAAAAAAAAAAGAAAAGAAAACAATTGCAGTTAGAGTATAAAAACTACAGTTGATTAATCTTGTATATTTTGTTTGACTCACTTACCGCGGTACTAATAACGGAAACGGTAAAGTTCTTGTATGATTAGAAGTTATGGGGTGAGTTTAGAACTCGTTCTAAAATAATTTTATTTTTTATATGAAAATGAAAACGTTTTCAATCTCATACAGAAATTCTTTTTGAAAATATGTTTGATAATTTTATCAAGAGATTGTTTTCAGTATAAAAAACCTATTAATGTCTCTCTTTCTCTCTCTTTGCTCGAGAGAGGAGAAAACGAAAATAAAAAATGAAAAACGACTAAATGTCATTTTTTATTTCTCTCTTATTATACACTAAACCAAAAAATCATTTTCATTTTCATTTTTTGTCTTTATTGCGCAAAACGCCGTTTTAAAAACATTTTTATTTTTTTTTCTCGAAAAACGGAAAAAATAAAAACGGATCAATTCCAAACACGTCCATGATTTTGCTAAAAGTTTGCCTCTTTACCATATTTATCATTCTTTTAGCACTTTAAAAAAGTATCTTTCTGTTTGTTTAAAAGAAGAAAGGAAAAATGCTCTATTTCTTTTTTAAATAGGGCAACAATTGTCAGCATTTACCCAAAAGTAAAGATAATACAATTGATTATAACTATACCAATAATATATATTTTTTTGTTGGATCAATAGTTGTCCTTTTTAATAAAGCATTTCCAGAAAAAAAAAAAAAAAAACCTTTCGCTATCACTCTTTAACTCAGTCATATGTAATTGAATTATATATAGTCTTTTGGTAAATTATTATCCCACACCAACATGGCCAAAGTCTCCACTGTGAAGATTATTGAACAATGCCTCGTCTGTCCTCAACCGTCCTCCTCATCATCATCTCCACCAATTACCTCTCTCCCTCTAACATTTCTTGACATTCCATGGCTTTTCTTCCCTCCAAGTCAACCTCTTTTCTTCTATGAATTCCCTTATCCAACTTCTCACTTCACCTCCGTACTCCTTCCAAATCTCAAACACTCTCTTTCCCTATCTCTCCAACGCTTCCGCCCCCTCGCCGGAACCCTAATCCTGCCTCCCCGTCCCCGAAAGCCCGAGATTTCCTGCGGTGAAGCCGACTCTATCTCCTTCGCCGTCGCCGAGTCCGACGGAGACTTCAACCACCTCTCCAGCCCTAGTTGCCAGAGAGATGCCAAGGAGTTTCACAAACTTGTGCCTAAGTTACTACCTCTACTGCTATCACGTGATGATGACGCACGTGACAAGCATCCTTTGCTTGCCATTCAAGTGACTATGTTTCCTAACTTTGGTTTCACCATTGGCTTGGCATTCCACCACGCTGTTGCTGACGGAAGGACGTTTAACAACTTCATGAGGGTTTGGTCAACGCTTTGTAGTGATCTGATTGGACGGGGTAGTGATCATCATATTGACCGCTGGTCTTGTTATGATCGGACGGTCATCGTTGACTCTCATGGGTTGGAGGGTATATTCTTGAAGGAGTGGTGGAAGAGAAGATGTAATTTATTGCCCATGGTCAGTGCCAAACTGGAATTGTGTGACATGGTTCGTGCCACGTTTGTGATGGGGTTGGATGATATGGAGAGGGTTAAGGGTTGGATTGTCACAATTCAATGCAAGAGAAAAAGTAAGCCACATTCTTTAGATTTTTCTCCCTATGTGTTGACTTGTGCATTTTTATGGGTTTGTCTAGTGAAAACCCAAGAGATAGGAGGCCTAACCAATGGCCATAGCCTAAATGAGGATCTGAATTACTTCGGGTTTATTGCGGGCGGGTTGACCCGAGTGGGGTACCCAGTACCCGTGACATATTTCGGCAACTGCATCGGGTTTGGCCGGGCAATGGCGGTGAGGGGGGAATTAATAGGGGAAGATGGAATCCTTGTTGCGGCGAGAGCGATCAGAGGCGCGATCAAGATGTTGGACAAGGCGATGTTTAGTCGGGCGGATAAATGGGTTACGGAGTGGCAAACGTTGATCGGGTCGGACATTCACATTATTGTTTCGGGGTCGCCTAAGTTGGATCTGTATGAGAAGGATTTTGGATGGGGGAGACCCAAGAAGATAGAGGAGATTGAGATTGACACCACAAAGGCAATTTCACTTAGTGAGAGTAGAAATGTGAAGGGTGGGATGGAGATTGGCATGGTGTTGCCAAAGCCTCAAATGGAGGCCTTTGCCATAATATTCAAGGAAGGTCTAAAAGGCTCTCTAGTCTCATGATTCTCTCCTCACTATGATCCATGAAGATAATAGATATTGGTTTGACTAGTGGTTGTAGTGTGAATATGATGTATTATTATTCATGTTATTTTTTGTATTTCAGTTCTGTATTGCCTGCAGGAGGGGCCATTTTTTCTCTGCTTGTATGATGCTTGTTGCTTATTTGGCTTCAAAATCATCTGCTAATTTTTGTTCCATTATTTAAGGATCTACCGACAGTCCAAATAATGCAGTTGTGCAGACGCTGTCACTGGTCGACCACATTTCTTTTTTGCTTATGCTCCTTCAAAAAAAAAAAAAAAAAAAATAATAATAATAATGAAGGCCATGTGTCTTCTTTTCATCCAGAACTCATGAAGTAAATTTATATAAACAAAATTTTGAGTCTAGTTTATATACGAAGGTGGTACAAATTAATACGTTGATTTCACCGATTTGAGTTTTTAGTTCTAAATTTTTACAGAATTTTCAGTTCTAAATTTCTACAGTAAAAAACTCTAAAAAAATATCACATCTATCTTTTTCTGACTTGAATTGAAAACTCGAATTCGCGAAGTGAACTAGGCATCTTCAAGAATATGAAAACAACATTACAAATATACTAAAGGCCCGTTTAGTTCGCTGATTCGAGTTTTTAATTCAAGTTAAGATGTGACTTTATGTGAGACCTTTTTACTATAGCAAAAAAGTTAGATGTGACTGTTTCTGAGAATTTTTTTTTGTAGCAAAACTTTGTAGTAAAAAAGTTAGATGTGACTGTTTCTGAGAATTTTTTTTTGTAGCAAAACTCAAATTTTAAACTGGTGAAATGAACGGGGCTAAAGGAGATGAGCTGTTCACTGTTCACGCAGATTCATTTTACTGTTATTCGTACTAGAATGCCGATTTTACCCTTTTTCCTCTTCTCCTTCCTTTTCCATATAGGGGCTGTTTGGTCTTCTTAATTTTGATGGGTTGATTGTACCGTTTTATCCCTAGTCTTTTATTTTTTTATTTGTTTTGGATTGCGTCTTTTCGGTCATTTCCGTGTAAGTGGAGCTCTAGGTTCTATTCCCTCTTCAATCCTCTTATTCTCTCCGCCTCTCTCACCTTCTTTCGTCAGAAACTCTGCATTCTTCTTTTGATGCTTTGATTGTCTTTGCCTTTCTCATGTGATTTCGGCGGAAATTATGTGGTTTAATCCGTTCTTCTCTTTTGGGCTCTTCGACGGTTTTTATTTGTGGCTTTGGTTTGGTTTTTTTCCTGTGATTTTGGTCGACGGTCCTTTGATTCATCTGGGTTTTGGTGGAGGTCTCTTCGATTCTTCTGGGTTGCTTCTATGTTGGTTTGATTCACGATTTTAGTTTGGGCTTTTATGTGGTTTTGCGGGAGTGCATGTTCTATGCTCTTTTTTTCCTCGTTTTAATGTTTTTTCCCCTGTTTTTGTTGGCTGTTTGCTTTTGTGCCTGATTTGTGTAAAATTTTCAAAATTTATTAAAATTTGTTGATATTTCTGATTGGATAGCATATGGGGTTTTTGAAATTTTTTTAGTTTTAGTAGTTTTTTTTACGTGACAATGATGATTATAATTAACTTTGACATATTGAGTTTTATGTAATTTGTACAAAGATTACTGTGAATATGTCTTCCTCATTTAGATTCTGATTTTATCTACTCTTTTTTATTTAAAATTTTCGTAATTTCTCTTTTGTATTTTTTATTTATTCTAATGTTTTTGCCTTCTTGGTATTTACTGTTTCATTCAAAAGTTGTTTATACATATATCAGCTCTCTTTTTTTATTGCCGAGCTTTGGCTTTCCCATCGTGTTATTACCGTTTCATACAAAAAGTTGTAGGAAAAAAAAAACCCTCCTATTTTATTTTAGTTTCATCATGATATACCTCCCCATCTTTTCATTCCTCTATTTGTTGTTGGCTTAATGTCATTCTTTTGTCCATTTCTTTTACTTCTTTTGGTCATGAATCGTAGGCTTCATTGCCCTTTTGATGTTGTTATTTTTTTCTCTTCTTTTAATTCACCTGATAGTCTTTGGACAACTTTAGATATTACTTCAGTCATTCATTTTGTGTCACATACAAATTATAATCCGTGTGATGGATATAATATCTTATTCATTTTAGTGTTTTTGTGCAATTACGTAGGGTAGGCAGCCACAATCTATTTATCACACATTAGTAAGAATATTGAATATCTGAGCCACAATTGCTACATAAAAATATTATTATACCTATATTTTATTAGCTTTTTAAGTTTTTTTTGTTTGTTTGTTTATTTACTCATTTACTTATTTGTATTTTTTTAGGTTTTCTATCATTTACTGCTCCATCCTGTTATTCCTATATCATTCACTCCTGTTCACGTTCAGTTGGCTCATATTTGGCACTTCAGGCATTATTTATAACGTTTGAGGTATTATTAATAACTTCTGTCCACAACTTTTTAATTCTTGTTACTCATACTGGATGTATTGGTTTGCTATGGTGAATATTAAAGTGTGGTGTTTATACTTCCTTATTCTTGTTTACATATGGTTTTCTTATCCTATTAATAGATATTACAGCTGATGTAAAGGATTGAGAAAAATTCTCTCTCATTCTTAATAAATGTTAGTAATCTATATCTATTTTGTTTTGTGTTTTTTTAGTAAGTAGTACTAACAAATTGATCTCCTATTTACTTCTTTCTTAATCATATATACACATACATATTTATACTTAACATATTTTAGTTTTACTTCATTTTTTTATGTGGCGATGATGATTATAATCAATTTTGACATGTTGAGTTCTATGTAATTTGTTCAAAAATTACTGTGAATATGTTTTCCTCATTTGAATTTTCATCTTATCTATTTTTTTTTTTTTTGACTTAGAACTTTTTGGCTACCTCTCTTTTGCTTTTTTTACTTATTCTAACAGTTTTGCCCTTTTGGCATTACTGTTTCATTCAAAGGTCATTTACATATACATTAGGTATGTTTTTCCGTTGTTGAGATCCCGTTTTCCCATCCTATTCTTATCCTTTTATACAAAAAGTCGAAGGGGAAAGGGGAAAAAAAGGTCTCTTATTTGATTTCAACTTATTTATGATATTTGTCTATGATTTTGATTTACTTTGAATTTCTTGTATTTCTACTTTAAGTATTAGAACTGAAATTTATTCCTCTATATAATATCTTCCCTTTTGTTACTTTTTAATTTGTTTTATTCCTTGAATTTGATTTATCCAGTTTGTCCTCCTTTTTTTCCCTTTCTTTTCCTAACTTCTGCAAGTACTTTTGAGTCTTTTGTTGTCCTATAGTCTGATGGTGCACTTTTGTCATTAATTTCTTATTCCTTTATTTGTTCTTGGCATGGGCTTTTCGTGTCATTTATGTGCAAATAAAACCGCACATTTCATTGTTCATTTGGTATTCTCATTTTGTCTAGTTCTTTCACATTTTTTTGATACAAGTCATAGACTACATTGTATCTGTGATGTTGCTGTTTTTTCTTTCTCTTCTAATCCACCTGGTAGTATTTAAACAACATTACATTTTATTATTTTTTCCTTCTCTTTTAATTCACCGGGTAGTTTTTGGACAACTTTAAATTTTACTCCAATCATTATTCATGTTTTCCTCTTCTGAGCAGGGACTTTTTGCTCTTTTTACACCTTATGATCTGATTGTGCTGTTTTGTCCTCAGCCTTTTAGCCCTTTATTTGTTTTTGGGTTGGCTTCGTTTGGTCATTTCAGTGCAAACGTAAATTCACTTAAATCGAAAATAATTCGAATCACATTATTTAAATCCTTCAACCAAATGTCCTTGAAGTCTTAGACCCTATTCTTTCATCAATTCTCTCATTTTCTCTGCCTATTTTAGTTGATATATAAACAGCTTATTCATCACATATTGTTGAAAATATTAAATATCTGAGTCACAACAATTACCATATACTAAAATATTTCTATATTTATATCTTTCACTTTGTTTTGATACAAGTCATAGACTACATTGTATCTGTGATGTTGCTGTTTTTTCTTTCTCTTCTAATCCACCTGGTAGTATTTAAACAACATTACATTTTATTATTTTTTCCTTCTCTTTTAATTCACTGGGTAGTTTTTGGACAACTTTAAATTTTACTCCAATAATTATTCGTGTTTTCCTCTTCTGAGCAGGGACTTTTTGCTCTTTTTACACCTTATGATCTGATTGTGCTGTTTTGTCCGCAGCCTTTTATCCCTTTATTTGTTTTTGGGTTGGCTTCGTTTGGTCATTTCAGTGCAAACGTAAATTCACTTAAATCGAAAATAATTCGAATCACATTATTTGAATCCTTCAACCAAATGTCCTTGAAGTCTTAGACCCTATTCTTTCATCAATTCTCTCATTTTCTCTGCCTATTTTAGTTGATATATAAACAGCTTATTCATCACATATTGTTGAAAATATTAAATATCTGAGTCACAACAATTACCATATACTAAAATATTTCTATATTTATATGTGATTAATTTTATTAGCTATTTTATTTGTTCATTTATTTATTTATTTACTCATTTATTGACATTTTTCTGAGTTTTCTAACTTCTTTTTTTTCCCTTCTATAAACTTTATGTAATCAGCTTTTATTATAACAGGCTTTTAATTTGTTTATCTATAAAGAAAGAAGTCGAAGATAGACAGACACAGATATGTACTATTTGATCATCAATTTGACTTATTTATTGTTATTATCTTATTAATTTATTTTGTACATAATTATACTTAACATTGTAAATTTTGAATTTTTATCATCGTAGACATTCCCATATTGTCTTATTTATTCCACACATATACAGACATGAATTTATTTGTTCATGTTTTGTTTGTTCTTGAATTTAGTTGATATATTATTGTTATCTTATTAATTTGTTTTGTACATAATTGGACTTATTATTGTAAATTCCAGATTTTTAGCACTATGGACATTGTTAGATTATCTTACTTAGAATAAATTATAATTGCAAAAATATTTGAAGATGTCCAACCTGCAACACCACCGCCACAAATACCAGCTCTCACGGCAATAGATCTAAAAACTCCAGACCTAAAATGATTTACCATAAAGTAAGACGTATTTATTAATTTATATTAACTATTAATAAAAATCAACATATACCATTTTCAATACATATTTTAATAATATTTTATCATTTTAATTTTAAAGCAAAACCAGCAGACCTGCCCAGAAAACGCCCAAAGATCAGTAATATAACTACTTAATTTACACTAAATATAATTAAAGATGTTTAACTTTCATAATTGTTATTATTAATTTTTTTTAAAATTTATATTTTGTAGTTAAAGAAGAACAAAATAAAAAAAGGACATCGGCTATAATACATTGTAAGCTACTTTTAACTAGCATATTATATATATAAATGTCTGTATATATGTGTATATATAAACTAATTTTATACTATAAACATTCTCAATTTTTTGTATAATACAACATTATTTTACCATTATATATATAAATGTCTGTATATATGTGTATATATAAACTAATCTTATACTATAAACATTCTTAATTTTTTGTATATTACAACATTATTTTTCGCAGAAACGCGTAGACTTTTGGTTAGTTAGGTCTATACCACAATTATTATATGGTTTCTAATCTATGTACCAACTTTTGTTGTTATTCAAATTTATGTTAAGTTTTTTTTTTTTTTAATCTTTGACTACGTGATTTGTGTGGCACAGATTCGAAGTTCTAATATCTCTAGTATAAATGACGTCTCCACACAAATCTTTAGCTTTTATTATTATTGTTATTAATTATTATTATTCCTCAAAATTTCTCGTTGTATAAGTAAATTTGCGGCATACTAACCATGCAGCCAAATCCCAGTCCTTAGGCTCAATAATGTACCTCTTAAAAATATATTAATTAAAATTTTTATCTTTTTACTCTTAACTAATAACATTTTTAATCAAATAATTATACTAATAAAATGATATTAATCAAGAATAAAAAATAAAATTTAAAAGAATTCTAAGCCCACAGCCCATAGAATCTCAAACTATAATGGGAAAAGATTCTTTTTTTTTTTTTTCCAAATTAGATCAGTGATAAACTGATAATTGAATGAAATGAGAATAGATAATAATTTATCTAAATTTATGCCAGCAGAGAAAGATTTAAAAGACAAGTTTGACAATCTCACAGAATTACTTTCAGTATTCTGAAAATCTAATATATATAATGTCGCATCTTACCAAAATTCTGAAATTTATTTTTTTTCTCTCAAGAATGGTGTTTGGAATAGGTCCTAAAAAGTTACGTAGAGAGCGAAGTAAAGGCGACCGACAATCAGAGCCGTTGCCTTGTTGGACTCGCAATTACCCGCAATCACAACGTGGTAGCTCCAGCTATTGCCACCTGTCCACGTTAGCAAGAAGGTCCCACACGTTTATATTCATCATTCGTCACCAACCAGCTCTCACATCTCCTATAAATACGTCGGCCATTGCCAAACTTCTCTTTCATCCCTCTCTCTCTCTACTGCCATTTCCGATCTTCTCTCTTTCTCTCTCTTCTTTTGGAGCATCAGAAATGGCGGTTAAGGCCAGCTTCTCAGCCTTCGTCGTCGTCGCTGTCGTTATGTTGTTTTCCATCGCCTCCGCCCAAGATTTCGAGGTGTCTCCGACTCCGGCACCTTCGCCGTCGCTGGAGAGAGGATTCGCCGTCGCAAACTCCGTCGGAGCCTCCGCCTTTCTTGCCTTGGCCTTCTCTCTCCTCGCCTTCGTCAACAACTAGATTACATTATTCATCATTATGTCTTCGTTATCTCTCTCTCTATATAGATTAGATTAGGTTAGATTGTTATTATTATTTATTTTGTAGTGATAAGAGTGAAATAAAAGAGCTTCATTTGCTCCCCATTTTCCCATGTATTTTTCATGTATATCTTAGTTCATATTATATGTATCAATATATATGAATGCTTGATTTATTTATTCGTTCTGTTATTCATTATTTTTTTCTTGCTTTTCTTTTTCATTTTAGATTAATATTTGCCCTTTCGATTAGATATTGTGTGTGTATGTGTATTTATATATCAAATTATGTATATATATATATATTAAATTACTATTCCATTAGTTTTAGTTCGGTGATATTGTTGAAAAATCAAAATAATCTGACAGATTATGTATTATAATCGCTGGCGTCAGCGTAATTTGTCAGACTATAATTTATTATGGTCGGTGGTTGGAGACCCGGCCCGCCAGTTGCCTGCCGGCGATCGGAGACCTCTCTGGCCGGTGACCGAACACCACTCGACTGACGATCATCGTCGGCATCATATATTTACTAATGGAGTATTTTTGCTAATCTATTATTGGCCCATTGACTAGTTCGTCTAAAAAGGTCTAGTTTTGGGTCAACATTAAGGGGGACAAGAGATTAAAAGGTAGCGCTAAAAAAGACCCAACCCTATGAATGGATTTTGTAACACCAAAATTTTTTTTTTTTTTGACAAATATATTTTAAAATGGAATTATTAATGATTTTTGGATATCAGCTTATTAAATTTTGTATCTTTAGAGTAAGTAATTTGACATATTATTATTGATAATTTGACAGATGTCGTCGCCGGTAACATGTGTAATATAAAAGATTATTATTTACAATTTGAAAATTTATTATTTATCAAATATATATTAAATTACTATTCCATTAGTTTTAGTTCGGTGATATTGTTGAAAAATCAAAGGGCCCGTTCACTTCGCTGATTCGAGTTTGTAATTCGAGTTGAGATGTGATTTTGTGTGAGAACTTTTTACTGTAGTAAAAAAGTTAGATGTGACTGTTTCTGAGAGCTTTTTACTGTAGCAAAACTCGAATTCTAAACTCGAATCGACGAAATGAACGAGGCCAATAATCTGACAGATTATGTATTATAATCGCTGGCGTCAGCGTAACTTGTCAGACTATAATTTATTATGGTCGGTGGTTGAAGACCCGGCCCGCCATTTGCCTGCCGGCGATCGGAGACCTCTCTGGCCGGTGACCGAACACCACTCGACTGACGATCATCGTCGGCATCATATATTTACTAATGGAGTATTTTTGCTAATCTATTATTGGCCCATTGACTAGTTCGTCTAAAAAGGTATAGTTTTGGGTCAACATTAAGGGGGACAAGAGATTAAAGGGTAGCGCTAAAAAAGACCCAACCCTATGAATGGATTTTGTAACACCAAAATTTTTTTTTTTTGACAAATATATTTTAAAATGGAATTATTAATGATTTTTGGATATCAGCTTATTAAATTTTGTATCTTTAGAGTAAGTAATTTGACATATTATTATTAATAATTTGACAGATGTCGTTGGCGGCGGCTCTCTAGTCGCCGGTAACATGCCTAATATAAAAGATTATTATTTACAATTTGAAAATTTATTATTTATCAAA